CCCGAGCCAACTCAAGTAGCTTCTCCGAGCCGTATAGACGAGATTTTTGAGAAAATGGAGAAGTTAAATCAATCCTTTCTATCCATTTGTACTTCAAAGGTGTCCCCATCCGAGAAAGAAGACGCCGAGTCTTACACTCTACCACCTCTTATCTACGAGAACCAATCGGTTGGCCAACCTTGTGCATTGAGAACCGAGACTTCAAGTCAAACAAGGGTTGTTCCTACCGACGATCACAAAGAGGTTTTGGCAAATACTCGAGACATGCTCGCGAACCTCATGTCGGTTGTAGAGGAGTTTAACAATTGGGGGATCATTCCCGTTCCATCCGGTCTCCAAAATCAACTAATGGAATTCGACTCAACCGTAGTTGCCTTCCTCGACTTGGACCATCTCACATCCCACTTGGTAGATATGCTTCTCTATCGGCGGAGGTTTATCGAGAAAGCGCACGGTTGAGGGCGAATTTCGAACATTGGTGGATATGATTGCATTCTTCAATGAGATTGAGTGTATGTACTCGGTGGCCGACACGGTGCATGGCATGGGGGATAATTCAAGAGAGGATTTGATTGTGTCGAGTGTTGTTGAAGGAGCTCGGGAGGACACTTATGAGGAGGAGGAGGAGAAGGTAGGCCATTGTTACGAGGATGAGGTTGATGAAGAGGTCGAGTCATCATATGAGGTTATTGAACCAAATTGTGCATTGATAGGTGACTCGGCTCGAGATGTTGAGTATGAGGTGGCTCCCATGTCCTTCGGGTCGTCATCGCATGCTGTTGAGGATTGTGAGCATTTAGAGGAGTCGAGTGCGTTTATGCACATGCTCCCGACACTTGAAGTTGAAGAGTACACATCCTAGATGGCATTGGTGAAGGCCGGGATCGATTCGACATGCTCCACGGATATGTTCATATTTCCGGAGGTCGATTATGGGGCTTTGATTCGTAATGCTTTATCTCTCCTCTTGGTAGTTGTGGATGTCCGTGCTCTGCGTCATAAGAACGTGGCCACGATGGTTTTACTCTTTGCCCGCCTTTATTCCGAACTACCATCGGGACTATTATTGGAGAATACGAAGGCATGGCATGATCGTCACTTCTTTTTGGATCCTGGTTGATTTGTACCCAGGTTTCGTCAAGCTAATGACGTTAAACAAGCGCTTCTTGGGAGGCAACCCAAGTGATTTATCGTTTTCTTAGTTATTTTCTTTTTTCTTTTTTAGTTTTATCTTTGAATAATGGGAGTTTTGGAGTTTTGTGTTTTTCTTGGCAGGACGTTCGCGATTCTGGGTTAAGCATGGGCGAAAGGCCTGCATGGGAATGCTTACTACACTCGAAGCAACTTCGGTTTGCGTACTCTTTCCTCTTTTTATCTTTTTGTGTTGCTTCTTCCTTCTGTCCTTTCTTCTGAGTTTGGTGTTCTTGTGTTAGCTGCTAGGGTTGGTTCATTAAGTGAAATTGCTTGGTCCTATTATTTGACTTCCTGGTTTTGTGTTGAAGCAATGAGGACATTGCCTCATTTTAAGTGTGGGGTAGTTTACGTTGATTTTGCATGCTTATGTGGTGGACCGGTCTAGTGTAGGTTTTGTGTGTTTTTATGAGTATGGACTTTGGAAATTTCAAGATTAGTTAAGACTTGTTTGATGAATTCAATGAGTTGTGATGTTGGTCATATGAGGCATAGCGTGATGAAATGCTTGGTCAATTACTTTGATTGGCATTCATATATCTACCTTGTGAGGTTTCAGCCTTATTTCTTTCTTGAGATACACTGGTCGTGCTCTTGTTTGATTAGAATTTGCCCTGAGTCTACATCGAAATGAATCAATTTGGGTTGTGAACTGTGAATATGATTAAGGCATTTTTTTTTGTATTTTTCTATCCTTGTTTTTTCTGCAGTTATTCCCTAGTTGCCCTTTTGAGCCTAATTGTTTTTTTTATATATATAACCTCGTGATGATGACATTGTTTAGTTTCGGGTTGAGAACGGGAGGGGATGATTGTGGAGTTTTGTTTATATTCCATGAAAAAAAAAGAAGAAAAAAAAAAGATGTAGCCGAATGGATGTAAATGTCCAAAGAGGTTTACCAAAAAAAAAAAGAAATGAAAAAAGTGACCAAAAAAGGTCGCACACAAAAAAAAAAGAAGAAAATAAAAAGCAAAAAGCAAAACAAAATAAATCGGGTGAAACGTTCGTTTTTAGGAGAAGTGTGGGGGAAGATCCGGTATGTTTGAGCAACCGGTTGAGCTTGAAGTTCGTGGGTTAGGATTTTGAGTTTTGAATTCGAGCCACTTAGCCTAAATTTATCCTACCTGTCCAAAGAGCCTACGTTACAACCCTGAAAAACCTTTTGATTCACTAGTTTCGATTTTTGATTGGTTTAGAGTAGAAGTTACACAATGGGCAAGCCTATAATTGAACTTGTTATCGACCAATTTGAGTGCACCTACCTTTATCTGTATAAGAATTCGAGTGAGGCATACATATATATTCCCATACTTGAGAGAACGTCATATCGAAGTATAGTGATCAAGCATGTAGTTGTGTGATGCTCGTATATGCCATTTGAATGCTTGTTGTTGAAGTTGAACATTTTGAAGATTATCTTGATAATGACTGTTGTCCATGCTCAGGTTTTAGTTTTGTGCATTTTCTTTTCTTTTCTTTTTGTTCGGGACAAACAAAGGTTTAAGTTTGGGGGAGTTGTTTGTCCTATTTTTGTAACATTTTTCGTGCTCGTTTTGCTTTTCTTTATCCCCCGTTTTAGATCGTTTGCTTCGTTTTTAGTTTGTTTCGTGTTTTATTATGTGTTTTTCTTTATTTTGAGTCTTTAGGTGTTTTTTCGTTTGTTTTTCCGGTTTTCTTCGTGTTTAGTCGTTTTTGGTGTGTAGGTCGGGATCTTCGGGCGAATTTTATCTTCAAGAAAATTTGGTTTCAAGAGCACAATTGGATAGATGGGTTCGTTAGTGACGCGTAGCAAAAAACAGAACTCAATTCCGAGTTCGGATGAGCCCAAACGAGCCCGAAACGTAAAATGGCGCAGTGCAGTCCAAAGTCGCGAGTCGCGAGAGAGAAGTTGCGACTCGCGAGCCTACGTCGCGACTCGCGAGAGCAAAGTCACGACTCGCGAATTTAACAGAGCCTCCGACTAGCTGCGCGACCCCACGACCCGTCAGACTCGCGACTCACGACCTATTCGACCCTGTTTTTATTTTTCTCCGTTTTTACTCGTTTTAGCTCCGTTTTTTGAGCTCTATATATAAAAACGACCCCCCATACCTAGGGAACACCCCCCAATATCGTTCCTTTCAATTTTTTTCTCCAAAAACTTAATATTGTTAGGATAAATTTCTCAGCTTTTCTTTTTTTTTTTCTCTCATGCTTGGATTGTTGGACACAAAGATATTTGGATTGAAATCTTGCAAATCTTAATCTGATTGTAAGTTTTTCAATTCTATTTTATTACTGTTGATTGGTTTTATGTTCTTAATTCCGGTTAACATGAAATTGAATCTAAGCATGAGGTAATCCATTCACCTAGGGTTAGAGATTTTGATTCTTGTTTTGAATTATGAGGAATGTGTTTTGTTCAATCTATACGAGTTGTGTGAATTATATGGTTAGTTGATTGATCACCATTCTAACCTAGTTAATCGATGTTTAGAACCGGGAGGGGAGACGTCGGTCGATTTAGGCTCGTATAGAGTAGATATGTTCGTAAAAGTATTGTCTATGTGTTGCTTGTTTGAATGAATTTATCGTTTATGTTTGTGCTCTTGTTACGAAGAGTTATTGAGCATAGCCCTCTAGACGTGTAGGCTTGTTTAATCTCGTAACCAAACAAATAAGCGTTCAACATAGTTTAAGACTTGATGAGATTTCCCGACCCCTAGAACTTCTTCTTTTTCTCTAGAAATTTAATTGTTATTTCTTTAAATTGTTTTTCTAGTTCTAGCTCGTTTTAGTTGATTCCCCAAATCAATCGTGATTAGAGTGTTTAGGACTTATTTTATTTTCGTGTGTGATCAAGACCAACGCTAAATTCCGAACCGTCTTCCTCGAGAGATCGACTCGGGGAACGAATCCTTCGATTCGGTACTCGGTAAAAAAAAATATATATTTTGCTACAACCTCTTGCAATTGGAAACAATTGAATGTTGATTAGTCGAGTTAGGGTTTTGTTGATTCTATATGATTAGTCGATTAACTCTCTTCTAATTTAATTAGCGACTTTTAGAACCGAAAGGGGAGAAGTCATAGACTTAGGCTCGCATGAGGTAGATGATTTCGTAATTGAATAGTCTATAGGTTTTGGATTGAAATACGTGTTTGTCGATGGCTCGTCCCTTATAGTTATTGGGATTGGGATAATTGGCCTGTGTCGTATGCTCAAGTTTGTTCGCCTATGTTCAATCCCTTGTTACGAAGAGTTCTTGGGAGCGAACCGCTAGATGCTTAAGCGAGAGCGTCAATCTAGAATAGAATGATTAATGTCTCGGTGTGCAAATATAACTTGAATTAATTATCCCCGACTCCCTAGCTTCTTTATCGTTGTTTTGTTTATATTTTTAGGTAGATTATTGTTTATTTTATTTCTTAGTTAATAATTATTCAACCCCCCTTATTTGATTAGAGTGTTTAGGATTTTATTTTCTTTTTGTGTGAAATCAATACCGAAGCTAAATTCCGAACCGCCTTCCTTGTGAGATCAACTCGGGGAACGAATCCTTCGATTCGGTACTCGGTAAAAATAACAATTTGTACACAACACATGTCCCAACCTCTTGTACATACTTTACGTTGGGCGATTTTTCCTTCTTCCCAGGAGAGAAAAATTGTCTTGTTCGAGTGTTTGGAAGATTCAATTAATCGCACCACCAAGATTAATTGAAGTAGGTGTTTAGATAATTCATTTAAAGATTTTAAGGTGATATTTATCAAACCTAAAGATCTATTAATTCCGGTCACCACCTGCCGCCGTCTGCCGCTGCCAGAAGTCACCAAAAATTGCCCCCGCTGCCTGTCACCGTCGAGAACCTGCCCGAGCCCAGCCCGCAACCGCGCACAGCTGAACCTCGTGTCCAGGTCCCAGCCGCGAAGCCCTGCGCCGTCGTCCCTGCTCGTGGTCTCCGCGATTCGTTCCAGCGTCCGTGTCCCACGCGCTCGCTATCCTTCACCCGGCCAAGAGTCCGCGCGCGCCCAGAAAACTTGCCGCGCACGAACCGCGTGTCCCAGACCTTGCTCCCCTAGTCCGCGTCGACCTAGGACTTCCGCGATAACACGCGCCCGTCCTTTCCGTGTCTGCCCGAGTCGCACCACACACCCGCGCGTCACAACCCGACTCGCAACAGCCAGCGACCGCGACCCGCACCACCTAGTTCCGATCAGCTCCTGTCCGCGACCCGCATCCGTGACTGACCCGCTGCACCCGACGACCCGAGACGTGATCCAAACCTAGCCTTACCGGCTCGATCCCGACAAGTTCGTTCCAGTGATCCGTTCGTGATTCAACACTCGATTAGAATCGAAAAAGGCCAAACCCTTCAACCGATTGGGTTGTGGTAATCTTGGAGTTTTCACTATCCAAGATTGAAATCTAAGCAAAACCAAGTGAAGAATGTGTTCTGGAGGTGAAAAAACGAAAATACAATGTCTGGGAATGCCTCACATTAACCCTATGTTCGAAAATATATCATACTCCAATCAAAATCGCGCCTGCTGAATAACAGACCTTGGCGCCGCTAAGGTCTCTTAGCGCCACTAAGGTTCCTTAGCTGTTCGCCCCAGTCCTCGGATGATAGTGTAGCGCCGCTAACCATCTAGCCTTAGCGGCGCTAAGATGGCTTAACAGCGCTAAGGGCCTGGAATGCCCAAAAATTGCTTTTCTTTGGCTCGCGTGCTCGGCTAACGTCGCTCGGGTATTGCTCGAGCTGAAAAATCGACCTCCGCATGTCTTGGTCGCACTAACGGGCATGGAACACTTGGTAATCGACATAACGTGTAATCACCAAAACCAGACAAACACAAAAAAGAAGTGAAAAAATAGGAGAAAAGACAAAGAAAACACGCAACACGACTGAATAATACTAAAACACTAGAAACAACTAGACGGACCGGTGACACCTAAGAAATGACCTAAAACGGGGGAAAATACACGCAAAACATAAACAAAAATAGCAACAAAAATGGGACAAACAACTCCCCCACACTAAGACCTTTGTTCGTCCCAAACAAAAAGAAAAGAAAAGAAAAGAAAAGAAAAGGAAAAATAAACAAACGAGCAAGGACAACGGTTCAAGCAAGACTAATCTCAAACCAATCAATTAAATCAGTATGAATTCAAATGATCACAAGGGCACACCTCAAATTATTAACTGGCTATTCTGAATGACATAAACTCTCGAGTACGGAAGTGTATCATGTATGCCTCACTCAATTTCTTTCTCAAATATCAACTGGGTACACTCAAATTGGTCATCAGTCGAATAAATCACAAATTTGCCTATCGTCTAACTCCTACTCTAAAACAATCAAATTCGTGAAACAATGAATCAAGAAGACTTTAAGGGTTGTAACGTAGGCTCTTTGGACCAGGTAGGATAAATATAGGCTAACTGGCTAAATAAAAATCAACTCAACTCAATCAGATAACCGTAATCACGAACTCCTCCGGTTGCTGGCACCAACCGGTTCCTCCCACTACTCCAAAATCAACCTACTACCCAGTTATTCACCATTTCTAATTATATATATATATATATATTTTGTGTGTGTGAGAACCTTTGGAAATTTTACGTAATCCATTCAGTTACTTTTGGAAATTTTTAATCCATTCGGTTTCTCTTTTTTTTTTTTATATGATATATATACAAACACGAATCACCTCCAACTATACACCCGCAACACCACAACATCATCGTCACGAGGTTATAAAAGAAAGAAGATCAATAAGGCTCAAAGCGGGTGACTAGCGACATTATTTTCAGAAAAAGAAAAGGCAAGGGAAATACAAAGAATGCCTCAATCATATTCACGATCACAAATCCAATTGTTCCATTTCTAAGTAGACTCAAGGCAACTTCTAATTGATAACGATTCTGACCAATATCTCACGAGAAAAGAAATGAACGTGGCTCAATCCTCACAAGGTAAAATAACTGTCAACAAAACAACCAAGCCAATTCATCAAGATATGACACTCATTCTCATCATCACAACTACTAAACTCAATAAATCAATCATCAACTAGTCTTACATTACACCAAAGTCTAGCTCAGAAAGACACAAACAAATAATCCTACGAAGTATACTGGTCCACAAAACAAGAGAAAAGCAAAAGCAATCCTAAAAAATAAAACCTAGACCTGGTCAACCACATAGCCACGCAAACACGTAAAACTCCCCTACACTTAAGATTAGACAATGTCCCCATTGTCAACCCGAAGTACAAGAGAGCGAAACCACACAGTTAACCAACTCAGAAATAAAATAAACTATACAAAAATAAAAGAGAAAGAGAAAGAGAAACGTACAAAGCACAGTGACAAGTCACTGTGTGCCCGGTGATGGCGGTGGTGGGGGATGGCTACTCCCCGCACTCCGCTGGGTATCCCACTGGCTGAATCAGGTGTCCCAAGTGCTCCACTGCTGGTACTGCTGGTCCGCCCAGGTGTCCCATCGGCTGTCATGGGTTGTCCAGTGCGCCTCATTGCTCTGAACAAACTCGTTCCACCTGTTCGTCTGCTCCGTCCATCGTGCATCGTTGGACTCCACGAATGACGTCCAACGCGCGTCGTTCTGCTCGGTGAAAGTCGTCCAACGTGCCTCATTTCGAGCCTCATATGCAGAGAACCAAGCTGGGGCAACTGACTGGGAAGACGCACCTATGTGCGCGTCTATCAATGGAGGAGGCTGAAAGGTCTCGTGGGTGGGATGGTTTTCGGCGTCCAGCTCGTCCTCGTCTTCATCATGAGGGTTCTCGCTAGCTGGACCGGTCGATGTACTGGCTGCCGGTTTGGAGTCGTCGTCTGGAAGTGGTATACCCATTTCCTCGCAATAGGCCTTGTATGCGGTCCGCTTGATGATGGGATTCGGGGTGGTGGAGTTTTTAAGGAAGCCGGCGTGCCAGAGGTCTTTCTTGGTAATCAGTTTGGCATAGATTTTGGATTCGTCGATCTCAACCCCAAAGTATTCTACTAACTTGGCCACCACATGACCCAAGTTTAGGCCATGCCTCGAGTCGTGGCGTAGATCGAAGAGGGTATCCTTCAGGTACTGCAACATCGTAACCGATTTGTCGTGAGAGATCGATCACAAGATGAATACTTGCTGCTCGTTTACTTTGTTCGACTCCTTCTTGCCGAAGATCATCTAGGATATGTACTTGTGGATTACCACAAGAGCTACGTCGCTGATGAAACCCGAAGATGGCCCTGATTTCTTGTACGTCTCGCAGGGGGAGATGACCGCCCAATGCGGATCAACTATGAATCCCATGGGGCTGTGGCGTGACGTGATCGAGGAATCGAACTTGTAGATGTCGCATAACACTTTGTCGGTGCTTTTGTACTCCTTGCCCTTGAGACAAGCCGTGAGGTACTTCCCATTGTCGTGCTTGGTGACTGTGCTGAAGAACTCCAAAGTCAAATGTCGGTACGCATACGGCTCTATATCCTCGAATTCCTCGAGGTCGAGCAACTGGATGTACCGGTGGATATCGTCACCGATCTCGAACTCCTCGTGGAAGTATTCCCAGTTATTTGGCGTGGTCCGAGAACAGGCTGGGTGCTAAGCCGTTGGTACGTCTGGACCTCGTCCATTGACACGAACGAAAAAAGGGATGCAATGTTGTTCGGCTAAGGACACGGCTGGGGCTGGCGGGTCGGGGTTGGCGCTCGTAGAGGCTGCCGCTTTGCCCTTTGCAGATGCTGGGGCCTTTTTCCTTGCGTTGGCTCCGCCTTTGACCATGTTTGTTCGGTTCGGGCAATTTATCGGGCACGTGGTGTGCGGTATCGGGACTTAAGAGTGAGTGAACAATTGGAGTGTGATCGAACTCGGAGTAGGCCGCCTCTTGCCGCCACAATCAAACAATTTCAGTGTATAGTAAGCTATCGGTACCTTTTTGTGCTAATTCGGGCCGGACACGAGCAAACCACGAGCTAGGTATGAGGACTAGTGAAGGGCAATTGATGGCCGGAATTGCGTCAGCTGGATGGTCGTGGACGGGAGTAGCGGCCGTTGGTGGGTCGCCGGAGCAGGTAGGACGGTCGGTTGGTCGGGGGTTGGAAGAGTCTTCATGGCTAGGGTTCGAAGATGAGGTGCCGTGAATTGGGTTGCAATAGATTGCGGATGAGAGTGTGTCGCTGGAGGTCGTGAGGTTCCGGAGAAACATCGCCGGAAGTTGGACAACTGGCAGTGGTCGTCGGTTGTTCGGTGATGAGGTGAGGTGCGGTGGAGTGGTCGCGGGATGTGCTTGAGAGATGAGAGGAGATGTATATATATATATATATATATATATATATTTATACAAAAGTACAAAAATGCTCAGTTTTAAGCCGGGAGCACGGCACAAATCCGAATCAAGGATACGGGTCATCGAGACTGATAGTCTCGACATGATGCTTTCCGAGCTCTCCTTCAAAATAAGGCTTGACTCTTTGCCCGTTCACTACAAACAACTCGCTAATTGCTGGATTTCCAAGTCGGACAACTCCAAATGATAACACCTCATGGATAAGGTACGGTCCGCTCCACTGTGATTTGAGCTTTCTCGGGAAGAGACGAAGTCGGGAGTTGAATAAGAGGACTTTCATACCGGGCACTAGGTTCTTTCGGACAATGGTTGAGTCGTGAAGCTTCTTGACCTTGTCCTTGTAAATTTTGGAGTTCTCGTAAGCCTCGTTCCTCAATTCCTCAAGTTCAGAAAGTTGCCACATCCGCTCTCGCCCGGCTGCATCAAGATCAAAATTCATCCGTTTTATCGCCCAAAATGCCTTGTGCTCGATCTCAACCGGAAGGTGGCATGACTTCTCGTAGGCAAGTCTGGATGGACTCATACCCAATCCTTTCTGGATCATCGAGCCTACTCGACCAATCCTTTCTGGATGAGTTCACCGTCTTCTCAAGGATGGTCTTGATTTGCTTGTTGCTCGTCTCTGCTTGGCCCGACGTTTGCGGATGGTATGGGGTGGCCACTTTGTGTGAAATCCCGTATTTCTTCATTAGTTTCTCAGAAACCCGGTTGCAAAAGTGTTTACCTCCATCACTCACTATTGCTCGTGAAAATCTAAATCTGCTCAATATATGACCTTGCAAAAACTTGATAACCACATTAGCATCACACGTCCTTGTGGGGATAGCCTCAACCCACTTGGACACGTAATCTACAGCAAGAAGAATATACTCAAAACCAAAAGATTTGGGAAATGGTCCCATAAAGTCAATGCCCCATACATCAAATATTTCCACTTGCAAATTATTCACAAGGGGCATCTCATTCCTTGGGCCTATATTTCCAATCCTTTGACAGCGGTCACAATATTTGCAAAAATATGAGCATCTTTAAAGAGAGAAGGCCAAAATAAACATGATTGGATAACCTTAGAGGCGGTCTTTCGACCTCCAAAGTGTCCTCCACAATGAAGCTCGTGGCAGAAGGCAAGGACATCCAGTTGCTCTTTTTCGGGCACACACCTCCGAAGAATCCCGTCCTTTCCCTCCTTGAAAAAGGAGTGGATCATCCCAAACGTAGCTCCTGCACATCAAAACAAAACGCTTCCTCTCTTGGGAAGAGAGGTTAGACAACAAGACTCCATCCGACAAATAATTCACTATGTCTGCGTACCAAGGAACACTAGGCACTTCACTCACATGCTCATAGGGAAAAATATCATTTATATCAACATGATCATGCAAAGTGAGTGAATGATCAGAAGGAACAATGCGAGACAAGTGATCAGCAACAACATTCTCACAACCTTTCCTATCACGAATTTCTACATCAAACTCTTGCAATAGTAAAATCAACCGAATGAGTCTAGGTTTCGATTGAGTTTTACTTAAAAGATACCAGAATGCATCATGTGCTGGAACACGCCGACGAGGTGGTCCGTCCCATGGATCGATATCGGATACCAAACATGTACATACATGATTTCGAATAACCCTAAAGGACGAACAAAGAGTTTACCTTTCTTCGAGGCTTTGATTCGATCTGGGCGATCTTCTAGTCTGTGTCTCGACCACGTTTGGACGCCAGATGGACGACGATCTACCAAACGGTTGAAAAGAGCGAATTGCGTCTCGTCTTCACTAAACCCTTCACGTCACTTCTCCAAGATGGTGGCTGAAGAATGTCACGTTCTATGATGTGTGTAGGGTTAAAGACGTGAAATCCCTCCTTTTATAGAGGTCCTTGGGCCAGACTAGGGATCTCTTAGAAGGTATAGGGTTTGGGCTTCCTACGGGCCCAAATTCTTATGTTCAGCCCAGAACATAATTTGTCCCATAAATATTAATTCATTCCACTAGAGAATTAATATTGCACTCCCGTCCTATCCCAAAATGAATCAGGGCTTCTATTAGACTCGATATAATTCTCCGTGTTTAAGATATCGCACGTCCATTAATTATTAAAGCTTCTGACTGCTTTAACTAATTAATATCTTTTATTCCTTAAGTAGTACCACTCAACCTTATTATCGTACGGATTAAATCCACCTGCAGGGTTTGATACGATAATCCTTATGAGTTCCTTAAGGGGACGTCATCAACCTGGATGTCCAGGACACGGTTCCCTAATGCAAATAAATAGATATCATGCAGACAATGTTGTCACCCAAGATACAGAGCATATTGAACCAATGCTTGGTTCTCACCCATGGTAAATCAAAGTAACAAACAAATATCCCACATATCTAAGTGTCACAGTTAGGGTTAAGAATTAGTAGAGTCACCGAGACCTTGGTTATTCATGATAGTCAGAACAGAAGAACGCGTCTCAACTGTGATCCATTCAATGCGACGCAGCGCACTAGTATAAACCAATAGCTAAGACAAGCTACGTCCAGTTTATACTACAACCTACACCGATAATCATGTCCATAATTATCTCAGTTGTGAATACCATTTATATCTTATAAGGGACCGACAATGTAATCTTCTGTGTGACTACTAACACACCACATTGTCTACAATATAAGATAATTGGACATTTAGCGTAAAAGCAATCAAAAAAAAAAGCAACAATGTGAAAACATTTATTTCAGTCAAATGGAAAATCGAATAAACACAATCTAAAAGCTCACATAAAAGTTTGCTTTACAGTATACTCCGACAGCATGGTCAGAATGAACAATCAGTTTAGACCCTAGAATGTAAGATCTAAACTTTTCAAGAGAAAAAATTACTGCCAAAAGCTCTTTCTCGGTGGTAGTGTAGTTCAACTGGGCACCGTTTAAGGTCAAACTAGCATAATAAATTACACGAAGTAACTTATCAACTCGTTGGCCCAAGACGGCTCCAACAGCAAGGTTCGAAGCATCACACATAATCTCAAAAGGCAACGACCAATCAGGAGCAATAACAATAGGTGCAGTCACAAGCTTATTTTTCAACTTATCAAAGGCATCTACACATGCATTATCAAACACAAATGGCATATCATTGGCAAGCAAGTGACACAAAGACTGGCTAATTTTCGAAAAATCCTTTATGAACCTCCTATAGAAACCAGTATGACCCAAAAAACTTCTAACTCCTTTCACATTCACAGGAAGGGGTAATTTATCAATCATGTCAATTTTCGCTTTATCAACCTCAATACCACGATTAGATACCACATGGCCTAAAACAACTCCACTAGTCACCATAAAATGACTTTTCTCCCAACTCAAGGTCAAATTAGATTCAATACACCTTTCAAGCACAGGAGATAAATTATGAAGACAATCAGAAAATGAAGTGCCAAAAATAGAGAAGTCATCCATAAATACATGTAAGCAGTCCTCAAGCATATCGGAGAAAATGAAGAACATGCACCTTTGGAAGGTCCCGGGTGCATTGCATAAGCCGAAGGGCATCCGTCTGAAGGAAAATGTGCCGAATGGGCACGTGAAGGTTGTCTTCGGCTGGTCCTCGGGTGCTATAGCTACTTGGTAGTAGCCGGAGAGTCCATCCAGGAAGCAGTAGAACTGATGGCCCGAGGGACGGTCGAGAATCTGATCGATGAAGGGCAATGGTAAGTGATCCTTCTTTGTCACGGCATTGAGGCGTCGATAGTCTATACACATTCTCCACCCGGTAGTGATTCGGGTGGGGACCATCTCCTTCTTCTCATTCTCTATGATTTAATGCCTCCTTTCTTTGGCACCACATGGATCGGGCTGACCCACTCGTTGTCTGCCACTGGATAAATGAGTCCTTCTGAATAGAGTTTGAGCACCTCTTTCTTTACCACTTCCATCATGTTCGGGTTGAGCCGCCGCTGGCTATCTCGAAACGGCTTGGCACCTTCTTCTACAACAATCCGGTGCATACATGTGGAAGGGCTGATGCCCTTAATGTCACCTAGGCACCAACCGATGGCCTTCTGATTTCTTTTGAGTACGTCAATCGGCTCCTTCTCCTCATCTCGGTTGAGCTCGACAAAGATGATGACCAGCTTTTGCTTCTCGTCATCAAGGAAGACGTACTTGAGA